CCCTAGTCTGTCTATCCTACCGATGTCACTTCCCGCCTTTTCAAACCACTTTCTACTCCCCAGTACCGCTACCGTCCTCTCCTCTCTATTCCATGCCTCAAACATCTCCCTGTACGTCCCTTGTATTCTTCCCAGCTCAGTCATGTACACTTCCCTCTCCTTTTCGTACCACGGACATTCCGCGACTACATGAACACTGTCTTCGCATTCGAAGCCGCAATCGCATTTGAACTTGTCGTCGGGGGGGGGGGAGAGAAAAAGCGGTGAAACAAGGCAATGATTGATACCAAGGTCTGATGTAACTGTCAAAACTACCGGGACCTCCTTCGCAAGAAACTATGTAAGTTTGATGAGGAATTAGAACAGGGAGGGGGTACGCAGACTGTATTCCCTAACCCTAACCCTATCCCAACTTCCCCGATTGATTGCATGCTTTATCCAACATGTTAACTTAAACAAAGAGCCCTGCGAAGGCTGCCGAACTAACGGAACAGCTCTACTACCGTCCTTGTGTGGTCCACCGTGTTTTTTTTTTATTTTCTTGTCCTGGGCGCGGCGGCGGGCGTGCGGTAGGATCGCGATCCACCAGGCGGTAGTGCCAACAATAGACGACAAGGACAGGAAAGACCTGGACATCGACTCCATCGATACCACCCCTTTCGCTATGTTTGGAGTCTTCGATGGCCATGGCGGGCCAGCGTGCGCGGAGGTTTGTGTGCTTGTGAATATATGTGTCCATCTCTTCTTGTGTCATGTTCTTTGTGCACATGCGCGTCGTGATTCGTGGTTGTGGTGTATGGTGGTGTTGTTGCTGCGTTGGTGGTGGTGGTGTTGTTCGTTGGTGTTGGGTGTTTTTGCAATTGTTGTTGCTGTTGGTGGTGGTGGTGGTGGTGGCAGTGTTGCTGCTGCTCTTGTGCTTTGGTTCTTCGTTCTCGGCGTTATTACCGCAATACTGGCTGCTTTTGCTGTTGCTGTTGCTGCTGCTGCTGCTGTTGCTGCCAATCGTCTGCCGCTCGCGTTCGCCCCTGAGAGCATAAGGTGGACTTTGTCACATCTCAACATCGTCCCAAAGCATGGCCTCGCTGTGTACCAACAGTCTAGACTACTTTGGCTTTCCTTCGTGTCGGTTTCGCTCACATCGTGGACATTGTTTAATCGCCGTGGACTTTGTGACATCCCGCGTCGTCCCAAAGCTTGCCTCGGTGCGCACCAAGAAGGCTCGTGTGCCATTATTTGTGTCTGTTTCGCTCACACCCTGTGTTTTGTCTGTCGGCGTTGTTGCAGTTCCTCACTCAGAGCGTGTCGACGGTGCTGGCTCACAGTCCCGTCCTGTACGACGAGGACCTGACCCCCACTCAGCGGCGAACGTTTGCCACGGCCGACAGTTTCGAGGAGCTAGAGAAGGTAAGTCGTCGGCCAATGGCAAGTTGACGGGAAGGGGGGGGGTCGTTCGTTGCTCATGGACATGCATTTCGTGTTCTAGACAGAGCTATGCTTGGTATACACAGACACCGCAAGAGCCGAGTGCTCGCTACGCAGTAGTAATGTGTTGCTTGTCGTGTGGGTACACTATTTAGTTTTGGAAGCTACCGTAGTACCGTACCGAACATGCCCGGAACGCATGACACATCGATGGATCTGCAGATCCAGCAGCATGTTCTTGTCGCCTTTTTGTTTTTTCTCTCGCGGATTGTTGTGTAACTTTGCTGCCAGTTTCCGGACAGGAAACTCAGAATCAAACAGAACAAAGCTGCGCAACGACCTCCGAGAAGCTCTTGAGACGTTCCCGGTCTATTTCACCCACGCACCGCTATGCAACATCGTTTGCTTACTTGTCCTGCCATTGCTCGTGCTGCTGCTGCTGGTGCTGCTGGTTGCCGCGTTTTGCAATCCCGATCGGTGCTGCGCCTGCCGAACAGGTGCACAACAAGTGGGCCGACGAGATCGGGGACCTCAGCGGATCCACAGCTATCCTAAGCACGTTTCAGGACGGCGTGTTGGTGATGGCGGGCGTGGGCGACTCCGGTGAGGAGACAATGGTTGGGGTTTGTCACGGAAGGCCGTCTACTGCTGTTACCTGTACCTGCCGTTGAACGTGCACCCTGTTGTCTTGGAGCGCCTTGGCGAGAAATTAAGTTTGTACATAAGAGGAGGAAACTAGAACGGGGAGGTGGTACGCAGACCCTTATCCCTGGCATAGCTTCCTCGATTGCATGCTCTATCCAGCATGTTTGCTTGGTAGAAAAACCCTCCGAAGGCTACTGCGAAGGCGATCGCCTGTCTGATGCTCGCATGGATGGTACCATGTCATTTCATGTCAGATGAGACTCTCGTTCTTGTTTTTTGCTTTTCGGCAGACTGGATGAAAAACACTCCCAAGATTCCATACCAGGTAGTTCGCTTATCACACTCCCCTGCAATACGGTGGTACCACGTTCGTTGGTGTGAAGACAACAACATCACTAACAACAACGACAACAACAAATAACAACAGCGCGTCCATGATATCCAACCCTTTCACCTTCACCACCGGTGGTGATTGTTTTTCTTCGTGTCCGTCGACGCTCTCGGTCATCTGGCATCCTTGTCATCTAGTACATGCAACAATGTCCCCTCCCCGCCCATCCACGCACCCCCGCCCATCCGCTTATGGCGAATTTTTGCATGCTACCTGGAAATATTCACTGCTGTATGTGTCTGTTGAAAAGTGTAGTTTTGATCATTTTATGTTTGGGGAACACAGACAAAAAATGTTTTATTTTCTGTCGCGATTTTGTCGTTTGTGTGTGTGTGTGTGTGTGTGTGTGTGTTTTGTAGCCGGGCTATACGTGGACCACATGGGCAAGCAGCACAACCTCTGCCCGCAGCACTCAACCAGCAACGAGAAGGAGGTGGAGAGAGTGCTCAGCATGGGGGGAACCATCGTCAACAACAGGGTGAGAGAGCACTACAGAGAGAAGCGTCGCAGAGAAATGGCAGTTTCCGATTGCAGGTGGCCCCCGGTCACGGGCGAGGGCGGATTAGGTTTGGTGGGGTTAGACATGCATACGTGGGTTGTCAGGGGGTACGTGGATGGATTTCTCTATCGGGGTAGGCAGATACTCATCGCTAAAAGCAGAGGAGAAACAGACGGGGGGGGGAAGGGAGAGACGAGTGGCAGCAGAAGATTACTGCTCGTGTACTGTAGTCAGCGGGGAAGAAGAATGGACTTATTTAGTCAAGACTAGCTACGCGGGAAACGCCGGGCATGCATGCGTGTGTGACGCACCTGCTCGACAACTGCTGGTTGCTGGTCGCTGGCTGTTGGCTGCTGGTTGCTGCAATAGAAAACGCGCTTGGTTCCGCTTGGATGTTGTCCTCGGACATGATTCCTCGGACGTGATGGCCGCTTCAAGCTCCTCCATGACGTTTCCCTCGAAAAAACGCTCCGCTTCGTAGCCTCACCACCTTGTGGTGTACATGAGCTGGGCCTTTTATGGTAGTCGGGCAACAACCCACAACGCTCCGCTTCAAAACGCTCCGCTTGGCACCATTTCGTTCCGTTTTCCAACCTGACACACTGATTCACGGAGCGGGGCATCCGGGGTTGACAATAGTCGTGGCTTTATTTGGAGTTTGTACATACACGAGTGATTTTTTTCGTGATCTTCTTTGTCTTTTCGTGTGCGGGTTGCTGCTCTTGCTTTGTAGTCGTGGCGTTGTATGTTAAATGTTATATGTCATACGGCGTTGGTAGGAGCACATGGTGTTCTTTTCACCGAGCATTTTCTCTCGCTTTGTAGTTCTGGCTTTTGCAGGCATTGGTACGTAAGTGTTTTTTTCACAAGCGTGTTCTCCCTTTTCCCTATACGTTCAAATGCGTGTTTCGGTTTGTACTCTCTGCAAGGTGGCCGGCTGTCTCATGCCCACCCGAACGATCGGGGACCTGGACTGCAAGCGGGCGCTGGGCGCGATCGTCTCCCCCCACCCGGAGATAACGCTCGCGGCCATCTACGCGCCCCCCGACGACGGTGCGTACACCCGGGGAACCCTGTTGTGTCGTTTGTTCGTGCCCGCGTTTATTATAGTAGTCTGCAGCGTCGCTCCAAATCGGTTATGAAGCGACGTAGCACGTGCCATTGTTGCTGGAAGCGTTAGCGTTCTCCTATGCGCGTTGTGACGGCGTGTTGCCCCCGTTGTTCCCTGCGCTAACTCTATTAACTCCAAGCAAATGCTGCGTGAGAGAAAGCACCACTGAATACTGCTATGTCATCGTTTGTTCTGTGGGTAACCATACCGTACCATGTACCGTACCAGCTTTGCTACGCTCGTTGGAAAAACCGCGTTAGCTCGTGGCGCTCCATGTAAGGTACATGTCGTAACCGGAGGTGTTGTACCGACTAGGATTAGCGCACTCCACTTGTGTGTGCGTGCCAGCAGGTTCGGCAGTACTTTCTGTGTTACAGGTGTTTCGAAGAAGTGATGCCGCCCACAACCAAACAACACAACCTGAGAGCGTTGCAATGTTGTGCCTGCAAGCTCGCTAAACTAGGACACGTATCCTGAGTTACTGTAGATATCTAGAGGTGCAATCTCTCTCTCTCTCTCTCTCTCTCTCTCTCTCTCTCTCTCTCTCTCTCTCTCTCTCTCTTTCTCACCGTTAGGTAAGCGAGCAAGACCGAGAAATGATCGTTGCCAACCTGACACATCCCCCGTCTCACCTCGACTGCCTGCATGCCTGTGGTTCGTCTGACCCTTTGCTCGCACCTAACTAACTCCAGGGGAGCCTCACGATGAGCCGTTTCTAGTCCTCGCGAGCGACGGCCTGTGGGATGTGCTAAGCTTCGCAGAGGTGGCCTTCATCACCAGAAAGGTACTACTTCAACTATACCTACACTATTGTACAGCTGTAAATCAGCCCAAGACATTTTTTGGAGCCACGCCAATCAGCAAAGTCTCCTACCAACTAAGAGAGATAAAAAGCCAAAACCGGTTTGTAGCGACGCCACTCAGCAAAGTCTCGCACCAACTACTTTCCCCAACTGTTCTTTCTGTTAAGCGTTGGTTGGTTGGCCTTATGTTACGCCGTGAGAGCACGGAGGTCTGCCGGATGTTTGTGGTGTCCCAAGCAGAGGCTTGTGTGGTGGTTTGCCGGGAGTTTGCTTGCGAAGATGCTATCTACCCGCACGTGAAACGGCTGCAGGTGTCTGTCGATGAGATGGCGGAAATCGTCCAGCGTGCGGTGCCGTGTTGGGGGTTTAACAACTAACAACCCATGTTAACTTTTGCGTTTGCTCCTCCCTCCCCACCGCTTGCAAGAAGAAACTCCTTTCGATCGCAGATACGTCCGGCGTACCGTTGGTTGAATACGTAGGATATCGCACCCCCTGGACCAATTTTCAAATCTCGATTACTTAGCAAGAAAAGCGGTGCGGTGCCGAAAATTTCCAGCGGAGGAACCGATTTCCAAAACGCATCTTTTCGCTTTTGTGCACCCGCTTCTTTGAAAATCGGTCAAGGGGGTGCGGTGTCTTATGCAACCAATGGTGTAGGTTGGGTTGTCTATGCATATGTATATTTGTAGGCTGGCCAAGAAGGAAATATCGTAGGGGGGTCCCGGTAGTCCGGAACCTATCCCCCCCCCCCCCTTCCCCTCCCGACGGTTCCTTCGTTTGTGTGAGTGGTTTCGTCCGCCATCAGCGCAACAGTAACAACAGTGATGTGTATCAACCAAAATGAATGATCAAGCAAAACTAGCGATGAGTGGTACCATTGTTTTGATTTGTTTTGCGAAAACAATCCCGCACTATATATGATATTGATAGGGTCTGCGAAACCTGCGGGCCCACGAGAAGCAGGAGCGCGCGAAGGCAGAGAAGGCGGCCGCGAAAGCCGCGCAGGCAGCAGCAGCCGATGGACTCGGCGGGGGAGGGGGCCACTCCACCGGCGGCAAGACGGGGCTCTGGAAAAAGATGACGTCCCGCAAGGAGCGTGACGGTGGTGGCAGTAGCAGCGGGGCAGGCGGCGGCGGCGGCGGCCGCTCGTCGTTGTCGTCGTCGTCAACCAGTGCTGGCGCGAGGAGCTCCGCGAATTCGAGTTTTCCGGGCACGAGTACCCTCCCTCGCCCCCCCGGCCTGGACGGAACGCAGGACGGCGGCGTGGATGGATGGAGGTCGCCGCTCGCTGGACGTGAGCAGGGCGGGGCTACGGGACAGCAGTATCCGAGGCCTGGACGCGAGCGTGCGGGGGGGGCAGAGCCCCGTCTTAGGCGTAAGTGATTTGTGTTGTGTGCATGTTGTTGTGATTGTTGATCCCGGGATAGGTTGGTGTTCTGTTGTGTCGGGGCTTCGGGATGTTGTGTTGTGTTTAGTTGTGTGGTCGAGCCCCGGATGGATGTGTTGGCTGTTGCGCGCCCGGAGGAACGGGCTAGCGGGGGGGGGGGGGGGGGATGCCAACGCGCTGGGCCCCCTCTACGCTAGTCTTAATAAGAAGCCGTCTCGTCCACGAAAACGCTGCTGTCTGTTCTGCGTGAAGCTGCATGTGCATTGTAATCTTGACTTGAATTTGGGTCAACCCACTTGTGCAGGCAGGCCCAAGCTCATCCAAGCACGCATTCGTGCACCCGTCTACCCATCCATCCATCCATCCATCCATCCATCCATCCATGCCGTCGACAACATGCTCCAGCACATGTTTTCGTGTGGTTTTGTTTATGAGCGTACAGCACTCCATGAATCACATCACTTGTTCCGGTGTTGCGAGGCAAGGGTATGGTATGAATGCAAGGTGGAGGTGTGAGGACGGTTGCTATTCCTTAGCGTCAACACATGAACAGCAGTACTCCGTGAATGAGATCACTTGTTCGGGCGTTGAGGGGCAAGATTATGCAAACATGCAAGGTGGAGTTGAGGACGGTTGCTTTTGTTTGCATCAAGAAATGAATGCAAGGCCAATGGCGACGACAACAAGCACCCAAGAACACCAGCACTTTACACCAGCACGACCAACAGTATGCTGTAACACCACCACCACCACCAACAACAACAACAACAACAAGCACCCTCCTCGCGGAAAACAACCTCTTCGCCACAGCGCGTCGCTGGACTCGAGCCTGTACGCGGGGCTGCGCGCCGAGGAGCAGACGAGGATGATCGACGAGAGCCTGCATGAGGTGGTGGAGGGCGTACCCGCCTCCTACGACCTCGGCAGCGTGGCCGCGCAAGCTGCTCTTGCCGGCCCTTCCACGGCGTCGACGATGCTTGGCGAGGAAGACGCGGCTGCCGCCGGTGGAGAGCAGCTTCCCCCTGTGAAGGCGGTCACGGTGGCCTCGACGGAGCAGACGGCGAGTGTACGCACGGCTGGGTCTGACAAGGTAAATAACTGCCTACTTTCTTGCGCTCGCGGGGGGGGGGGGGGGAGTACGCGTGCCGTACAGTAGTCGTTTGACCCGCATTCCCTGCAAGGAGGGTAGTTGGCTTGCCGTACCCTAGTGGCACGTTTGGCCACAAGTCGATGTACTCCTAGTTAGACGTTCGTCTTCACAGCAAGCAGCGGTGTATCAAGCCGTCTGCACGATCTCGCACGGCCTTACCCAGCAATTCCCCGCCCCTATCTTATCCCCCTTTCCCCCTGAACAACCCTTCCCGTATTCCCCGCAGAAAGAAACGGGGAGGGTGGGACGCGAAGAGCGTGAGTGTTTCTTGTCTCTTTTCGGAGCACCAAGAGGGGATGACGCATGATGAAAATGTCATTTTGACTGGCGAGAAACGAGTGTAACCCCGCCCCCCGTCGTTTCTATCCCCCTGACCACCATACTACCGTCGCGGTCCCTTCTTTCGCGTGCGCGCGTCCAGCACAACGTGGCGATGAAGCTGGTCCACGCCGCCCTGAGGGCGGAGAGCCACGACGACATCTCGGTGGTTGTGGTCACCTTCGCGGGTACGGCGGACAAGTCGCCCCCGGGATGCCGGACAAACCTGCCGCACCACCTACCGCACCGGAGCAGCAAGAGCAGCCTCAGCGGATCGTCGCCTATCCCGGAGGAGCGCCCCGAATCTATGAAGGCCAGCTAGGTGCTCGCTGTGTGGCAGGTTGTGCTGCTGCGGGCGCGGACGGTAGTAGCGTGGCGGGGTGCGGGCTGACGCTGGAAACCATGGCAGCGTGCCAGCATGACAGGGTGCGGGCTGATGCTGGCGCCGATGATAGCGTGGCGGGGTGCGCGGCTGATGCCTTGGTGTGGATGGTACTGGCTGCTGCTGCTGCTGCTGCTTATGGTGCGGGGGAGAAGGCGCCTGCCTCGTTGACGTTGTTGAATATGGTACATACCGACGCCTCCCTTACAAACTGGAAGGAGTGCTTGGCGAGGCGTGGATCTGCCGCGTGCTGCGACGGTGGGGCAGCGGCACCATGGAATGGCGCGGTATGTTGCTCTCGAATGCCTTCCGCCTGCCCCCCGGTGCGTGTGTAGCCACTGCAGCGCAGTGTTAAAAGTAGTCCTGGCTTGGATGGAGAGGAGATCAGGCACCCAAGGGTCAAGGACGGACGGAAAGGACGCACAAGCAGGCGTGGGGTCGGGGAAGGGTGTACAGGACGATCGTTACAAATGTTCCCGGTGGCGAGCGCTCGCACTTGGAAACTCCCGGTGCGTAGGTAGCGCTTTTCGAGCACTTGACAAGCATGAGATGGGTATCACATCCGTTGCTTGTTCGATGTGGGTGGTGGTGGTGTTTTTTTTTTTTTTTTAGTGTCATGTTTTGATTTTTCGTAGTCGTGCCGTTGTCTTAATTTCGTTGGCGCCCGCTTGGTACTGCTCTTCCGAGCCACAGAGTGAGAGTCCGGCGCCCGCTATTATGACTTGGAAATTGGGTGGCTTGACCCCCCCCCGCCAACCCCCCACCCACCCACCCCGCCTCTCGGGCGTACTTGTTC